GAAAAACGTATTTGGATATTGCAATACTAATTTTACTGCATTCACTGAGCTTTTAATGTATTTAAGCATTTGTATCTTGCACCTCGGGACCACTCTTTTGTAGTAATCTGTAGTAATCTGTAGTAATCGTAATCGTGATCGTAATCTTGATCGCAATCGCAATGTAGCAACAATAACTGCTTTATTTCGAGAAATATATTTAGTTAATTCTCAAATGATCGAGCATCATATACCTTGCCCAGAAGTTGTGTGTGAATTTCAATCGAATATTGAACAGAACCACATAATTACTTAGAGTTTAGACTTTTTCTTGTAATAAAAACCGTCTTTTTCATTGGTGCGGACCCCGCTTACGCTATTATAGCCTCATCAACTATATCGCGACATTCATACCACCTTTTCGTTGTCTAGCACCAGCTGGAAATATCAAGTGAAACCAGAATACTCTGCGCCGGATCCTGCCACCACCCTCTTTCTCTGCCACCACCAGCGGTTACTGCATCAAGTGCTTTCAAAGCTGGAGAGTTGTTATCCATTTTAGATGATATGACCTAACGTAGCCGCTGTCTCTTCATTCGCTGAACTAGGTCGATTTCATCGTATAACTCGTATAGCTCATCGTTCCATCGTCATCGATATTCGCTGTTACCAATGCGCAAATGATCATAAATCGTTCGCTGAACTTTTCTCTCGAAGACTCATCAGATGTTGACACCGTCCACGTATCTGCGCCATATAGTTGGACAGGTATGATGAGCTACTTGTAGAGTTTGGTTTGTGTTTGTGGAGAGAGGACTTTACTTTTCAATTGCCAGTTAGTCCAAAGCAGCACCTGCTGGCAAGGGTAATTCTAAATTAGGTTTTCAGGCTGACATTTTTCATGGTATTAATGCTGGTTCCTAGATAGACGAAATTATCTACGACTTCAAAGTTATGACTGTTAACCGTAACGTGTGGGCCGGGTTGCGAATGTGATGACTGTTTGTATGATGCCAAGAGCTAGCAGACCCATTCATTTCATCAAGTCTCATTGAGGGATATGGTATCTCAAATTAACATTTTTAAGTTCGGCATACGCCAGCAGTTGCATTGTCTATTTAGATCTGAAGCTTTTATTATTAGCAAGACGCTAATCTCACAGTAGTTCGCGCAAACCGTGGAGCTCCGTTTTTTTATGGATTTAGCAGAACACCCTTAAATTACAATCATCGGGCATACTTTCAGACAATCATATTCTGCAAGGAGTATTTTTTTTTCCAAGGGAATCGCTATGCGAACTTCGTCACAGTCCAACATCACCGATTAAAGTTTTATTTCACTGACGTTCAGCAGACTAAAGAGGAGTTCCCGCCTTAATTCAGTATACTCCGGTAATCAACCTTCCGTAAGACGCCGCATCATTTCATAGAACTTTCGAGCATTACCTTTGTCGAACAGTTTCTCAAGATCTTCATACTCACACATTTCGTCCTCTTACTTTTTGTCTGCAAATACGTTTTGCTTGCCTATTCACCTCTCGGTTTCGAGGGAGACAGTCTGTTTTCTCTCCACTGCAGTTAGACTTACGTCATCGTACCAGCTACTTTTCTGTTTGAGATGCCGTTCCTCAACCCCAATAAAAATATCAAGTTGCTGATGAGTGCGCTCAGAAAACAAAGGTGCAAGTCGAGTAGAAAATCGTTCGGATGTTTGTTGTGATTGCAACATTCAGCATTTCTTGTGTCTGTTGACGGGCGATCTTTAACACACAGATGCGCGTACGAGTCTTCGCTGCGTCATAGTGAGCCGAGTCGATGTTACCTCTATGCGAACGTCATAACATGAGAAACATGATTGTGAGTTTTTCGGCAGACTACAGACAACCATATTTCCGGTCCCGGCCAAGTAATGGAGGTTTAGTTTTCCGACATTTTTGCCGAAGATACCTTCGATTTATACCCAGGCATTGAAATCGCCAAGCAGAATTTTGACATCGTGGTTCGGGCAGCGTTCATAAAAGGCATATTTGATCTCTTCCATCGGTGCATGGGCGCAAATCAGCGATGTTTTGAAAAATGTATTTTTGATGAGAATTGTTGCGAAATCTTCTTCCACTGATGTTAATGCAGAGAGACCAACTTGTTTTCGTCCTTGTCCAGCCCATCATACTTCTTGGACGGCGGAGTTATCAGCATTTATTCTTTCCAGGCCATCAATCAGCTGGGCAGCGACACCTTGCCAATCAAAGGACCGGACATTCCAAGTATATGCCCTCAAATCGTAATATATGAAACGTTTACAGGGGTCGTCATAAAAATAGATCTCTCACCCAAAGATTTTTACTGTTTTTCACAGTACTATGTGTTGTTTCTGCTGGGTCACAAACCCTACACATCTCCGCTTAGTATAATAAAATTAATTAAACCAAAAGTGTGGTAATTTTACAGATCGAAACCTACTTAAAAAAGTTAAACAACCTACTTACTCACTAAAAGACGATGGCAGCAAGGACCTACTTTTTACCGCCATGGTGCCACCCAACGTTGGCGATGACGTGAGCCTTATTTCATTTGAAGGGTGAATTCCCTCAAATCGTGATACTTAATATGTTTCCATTGGTCGTTATCTAATATGGAAGTTCTCATCAGAGGCGCTGTTGACTTCTTCCTTGGATCAGAATTCTATAAGGCGGGTAGCGAACCCAACGCACAGCCTAGCCCATAGAGGTAATAATAGCTGGAACACATTTGTATAACAAGCCGTTTGCTTCATGATCGACGCCTCCTCCCAGTTACACTTTTTATTAACGGTTCAACAAATGTTGGTTACCACATCTTCTATAAAGCTTGCTCGTGTATTAACCGAGTTTAGTTCTGCGGCCTCGGTAGCCGAGTGGTTATCATTGCGCACTGCCATTAGGAAGGCTCGGGTGCAAATCTCCGGTCGACCAACTTCCAAAAGTTATTGAAAATTAATTTAAATAAAAAATTAAGTTAAATTTTCTAATTACGATCATCGCTCGGCAGAGAATGTCAACCCCTCCGAGTGTATTTCTGACATGAAATAAAGGCTCCTCATAAAAAAACCATCTGCCGTTTGGAGGCGGCTTAGTATAAACTGTAGGTCCCTCCATTTGTTGGAAAAACATCAAGACGCAAAACGACAAATTGGAGGAGGAGCTCCACGGAAAATCGCGTTACCGGTTACAAAGCGCCAATTTTAATATATATATTTCTGCGACTGTAATTGCGTATCCAAAAGTGAGACTTTATAACCCTTTTGGGTCCTAGACAGCCAATAGTGCGTTGACTAATTGTTTGATATCTTAGACTTATTAACTTAGTTACCCTGTCAGTAGCCTCATGGTGCCGAAAGGTTCTCAATTCTGAGCGCACTTTTGGTATTGCTCAGATCACGGTCATATGACTTTTGAAAGATTTAACCTATGGTAAAATCTGTTCTCTGGTGTCCCACTGGTTTAATCAATTTGTGGACTAAGGTTTTCAATCATTCATGCGATATGGAGGAAGGAGTTAACAGCTGTTTAAAAACTTCTACTCAAAGATATAATATTTCGCAGCTCTTTGAAGTTTGGCATGAAAAATTTTCAGCTAAACCGGAAGCCTGTAGTATCGTGCATTCCAGGTTTATTGGCAATCCTTTAATCGGGGTTAGTATCAGGTGTACAACTTTGCTGCCGCCGTTTTCCGATAGGTGGTTGTACCGGCTGAGACTGGTTGAAATACATAGATGATAATGCCTGTAAGGTGAATGTGGACAGTGCCTAACGAATTGTCATCACCGTTTCAGTGACAGTTGTGACAGCCTTGAGAAACTTAAGCGTATTCCACAGGCTTATGCATAGACAAGATAACTTTTTAATTGTTTGCCTCCTGCATTGCTTTACTGTACAGTTTTTGAAATTTTATATCGCTGAAAGATTAGGACTTTCAACAATAATAATTGTAGCCTCAGGTAGGGCTTGCCTAACTGGGTATTTAAATATGTATTAATGCATTGCTCTTGCGTTGCTTCAAGCTATTTATGTGCACACGAGTATGCGCCATGGAAATTAGCCACATGAGTGGAGATTGAAATTTTGAACTTGAACTAATGCATATTTAAATGCATTAAAATAAAATTACACGCCTAATCAACGAAGATGCCAAAAGCATTGAATGGAACAGCAGCGGCGAGTCAGCAAAATAGTTGGATGCATTTTTTGCTATGTACAAGCGTCCACAACCACTGAGAATATTTGAAAACTTTATTATGAAAATAGCATTTTTTTCTGATTTTTGAACATTTAAGTAGTGATACGAGTTTTATAAATTATAACTCATTTAAATGAAACCAAATCGAACTGCAACAAAGCATGCATATAAATATTTTTAATGCATAATTATCTGTTTATATATGTACATATACATATATGCAACGTATAGATAAAGAGGCGATGATAGGAAAATACTGTCAAAGTGAACATTTCTGCTTTACTGCCGCTGCTTTGTTGTGTGTGCACGTAGAACCAGACACACCTTCGTGTGAATTCATACCTGATGGCAAGCCTATTTACATACCATTTACAGTGCATATACATACTTACTTCGTAGACGCTTGTAAACCATTGATCTTGGTATCCACAGACTTCTTCATCCGATAAGAGTTTGTATTTTTAATTTGCTCTTGCTTCGCTTCTTCTCTGTTGTTATTGTATTTATGGTTTGATGTGGGTTTACAACTGCCAAATAAGGCATATCTTGGCACAGATGAGCTGATTCAATTAGACGAACTTAGTTGAACTTGAAAATCGGTAGTGACGACAAGGGGTTGAAATATATATTACATACTTTCTGGGCAAGCATTGTTGTTGGTGTTGTGTGATTTGTTGTTCAGAAATGTGTAATATGTAGTTCGAACCAGTTATTATCACAAAAGTCTTTGGTGCAGTCCATAGTCTTGCACTTGTATAAAAAGCTTTGCAATCAGAGCATATTCAACATATTTTTATTACGGTCTTGGAAGCCAACATCCACTTCTTGAAGAGTGTCTTAAATATAAACGAAAATCTTCATACTTTATTGCTACAAAATGAAAATCTTCATCGTAAGTGCGAATTTGAAGGAAATTTTTGTACCTTTTTTACTTGGCAGTTGAAGCTGACAGATCTACATTGGTTTGAGCTCTAATAAAAATTTCCAAAATTTTTCTAGTTTTTCTGTTTGGCGTCCATAGCCTATGCCGACAAATTGGGCTACAACTACCAACCGGTGGCACATTCTAACGAAGGTCTTTCCTTCACACCTGGTGCTCAACCAAGAGCTGCTCCCTCAGCACCCACCCAAGAGGCACCAGCTCTTCCCGCAGCAATTCCGGCCACTGCCCAACCAGCACCTGCCGCTGCCCACCCAGCACCTGCCGCTACAGCTGCACCTGCACCTGCCGCTCCAGCGATAACACAATATGAAAAGGAGTTCTACACATTCACGGCACCTCAAGCGGAATTCGATGATGCTGCTGGGCATCAGACGATCGCCAATTCACTAAAGAAGAATCTGCGCGTTGTTTTCATTAAAACGCCGGAGAGTAAGGCTCTAGAGAATGCAGCGCTCAGCTTAGCCAAACAGGGCAGTGAAGATAAGACCGCTATTTATGTGCTCACCAAACAGGCCGACCTAGGCAGCTTAGGTCAACAGCTGCAAGCAATTCAGTCACAGTCAAGCCACAAACCCGAAGTACATTTTATCAAGTACCGTACACCACAAGACGCTACTCATGCACAGCAAGCAATTCAACAACAATACGATAGCCTACCCGGTTCATCGCATAACTCCAACGAAGGCACTGCTCCGGTACTGAACTTTGCTTCACAGGCACCCGCCGCCGCTGTAGCAGCACCAGCTGGACCAGGCAATAAGTATCTGCCAGCTAATCCAGTGCCCACACCAGCATATCTTCCACCCAGTCTACGCCTTTTTCGTCACTAAGTAATAACTACATTTATATATGTACATACATGCCACTATATACCATATATATATACATACATACATTCATATGCAGATATAATGGCGCAGATGTTTATGTTTAAGTATCCATTGTTATATTAAATAAATTCATGCAATAAAACAGCACATAATTGTGATTTTGAAAAACATCACTAGGATTTTATTACAAAAGTTATTTATGGCCAGTCGCTAACCTTTCGCCGGGCTCTGCGTAGATAAAGCCATTTGCAGTGGAACACATTTGCTGAATGAATTCCTCCAAAGCTCTCTGTGAAGGTTAGAAGTGTGTTCCCATGCCTTTGACGGCGGCTACAAATTAAAATAAATCCATTAGCGCATCCAACAAACATTTGTCCTCAAAGTCATGTAGTAGATTATTGCTGAGCCGCACCTCTACTGTTTGGCATGTTTTATGTACAAACTACTAAGCTCGATGAAGATGTAGGCAGGATGTTGGTAGCAGCACCGAGCTTAACCAAATTCTTCAGTGGGAGTAATTGCTTAACATGTAACTTTGTGACTATACATATATGTCGGTATGTATCTGTGCACAAGTTGCGGCAATTTACAAGGCCGAACATTTGCCGAGAATCTCGCTCAACTCTTTACAAAAATTTTGTAATCTGATGAAGTGCTACTCAGTTGAGCCATAAGTCTCTTGCTCAAGCGAGCTCCAGAATTATTAAGCAAACATATGTTAAAGCCTTGCCAAAGGAAAAAATGTGGGCATACATCTCTTACATATGTAGAGATTCTTTAATGAATTAATTTAGATGTTTGTGGGTTAAGATGCTCACGAAGACTGGTTTCGCAATCTCCTCTTGCCTTATTGTTTCGCCATTTGCCGTTCTCTATGCATCCGAAGTTCGGAAGCAGCTTAGAAGAATTGAAACGAAGACCAGTACTTAGGGATGGTAAATCGTAAAATAATTGTAGGAAAGTAGGTGTCCCAGCTTACATATCCTCCGACTCAATTTGCATTAGAAAAACTAATATGTTATTTTGCACTTGATTTCTTATTTCCTGCGAGCATATAGTCAAGGTATAGGAGAGATCCATTTAGATGTACTTTCCCGCAAAGTACTTTTATCTGGCCTCTTTAATATGTCATTGGTTCCTGTCCATTCAAAGTTGGGTCAATCCAAATTAATGTTGGCTGTTTTCTGTGGCCTAAAGCTATTTGCTCAAGTACCATTTTTTGCTGCCTGTTCGAACCGTAAGTTACTCGATCTCCGTTTCAGAGTACAGAAATACTTATTGGATAGTTCTTTTCAATGTCTCGCACTAGACAGTGTTAGCCCCCTCCTAAAACCTCGCTTTGTACACCATTAGAGGGTGTTATTACCTGAGAGCGTGTGCTAAAAAACATTAATGGGTGGATACAATTGGACTTGCTTAAAGATGCGACCTTACGCAGAATATCGCTATGTGCGGAAGTCTTCGGTAAACCCTGCCGAATCTTGATAATATTGCTAAAAAGATTAAAAGAATCCTTTTATGTTCAGATGATAAGTTAAGTATCCCGATGATTAACTACCGAACTTTAGAAATCGCTTTCCTATGGTGGTCTGCTAGAAAATGCAGACGCTTAGACATTAACAACATTGGATGAGTCGGTCGTATTAGTTTTATGAGTTTTCGAGAGAAAGAAGTAATTGAAAGCGGAAGTAGACAATATATGGTCCTTCGTATGCTTCGCAATGGTGAATACCCAAAATAATGGAGCTAATCGTGCTAGGTAATGTGGTCCGCAAGTAGGAAAGGACGAAACTAAATGACTCTTAATATTTTTTTCTTTTCGTCGTAAGACTATAAATATTGATGAGATCTGTAGTTTCAGTTTCAGACAGCATTTGTAATCTACATATATATATACTGAAGACTATGATGATGAAGAAAAAGAAAGATTATTGTACATGTCACGCTGTCGATAGGGTTTTAAATTAAAGCTCGCATTTTTGACCGTCGGAAGCAATGGTTATCGTGGCGCGTCTTTGCAGCTCGCAAGCAGTGGCTGGGGATTTCGCGACCTCTTCCAATACAATTTTTATTACAGTGTCCCTATTTATTTTACTTTGTCACAAAAAAAAAATGTATGGCCGTCGTGAAAATACAAATTGAAATATGCGGATATAAAAATGTTCGAAAAAATGGGAGGATTGAGTCGCACTCGCCTTTTGGAGCAAAATTACATTATCATGGAAAGCGCAGTTTAGTACTAGAAAGTCATTACTATTTTAATGTAAAATCTAGATTTTAATTAATATCAAACATATTTTGATACATCGCATTTTTATTGACCTAATCAACTACGTTAAGGAACTCATTTGATTTCTTAAAATAATATAAATTTTAAGTATTAAATCTTATTTCATCCATGGTCAGTGACCTTAACTTAAATTTACATACTTCCATAAATTCAATGAGATTTAAGAAAACAAATTTATGATATTGCGCCTTATTTGAAATTTAGGGTAGCCATCCATCACATTTCTTCGTGAATGATTATTATCCTAGATGATTATTTAATAATCGCGATTGAACCACGGCATTCGAACCCAATCTAATAGCAAAAATTTCTTGTGCCAATCGTGGGTCTTTGTCAATTTCGGACTTCACCAGAGTTATAGTGACGCCATCAGTGGAAGATTTTGGTCGACCTTCTCGGGGCTCGTTCTCTACGGAAGAGTTTTCGGTCTGGAAAGTGCGGAACCACTTAGAAATAGTCTTTAAAGACTGTGCAATCGTTCCATATGAATTTTGGCCTTTACTGAATATTTTCATTGGCTGTAAATTACACCGAAACCCGAGAATCACATGGCGAAATTCTTTTTGCGTGTGTGGTGGAATTTCGTCTGACCTATCTTCAGCTAGCTTGCCTTTGCTCAACTCTCTTTGAGCCGATCGTTATAGAATTTGAAAGGAAGACTAATGATGCTGATTTTAAGTTTGATGCTTCTAATTTCCTTAAAATTTTGTTTTTTCAATGTAGTTTTGCAATGCCGGAATCTTTAAAAGGTTTTGACGTCGCTCATCGCTGTTACTTCAGGTATGTTTTAGTTACATATTAATAAGTCATTCGAATACACTTTTATTCTATTAAACCATATATATATATTTTTTAAATATGCTGAAGTATAACTTTTTTGTGAACCTTTTCCGAAAATCCGAAGTTGATACCATAATCAGTCTCTGATATATGATCGTATCATTAAGGACGTCGCGTGGAGTTTTTCGAAAATATGCAAAGCGAAAGGTGGAGTTGTCTCAGTTGTCTCGCCACCGCTATGCCTTTGTTTAGGTTGTACAGGTATATACGAGTAAGTAAGTTTCGTCCGTTGAAAGTTCTTGCACGCAGTCAAGTTGTGTTTTTTCTCAGTGTTTGAGGTTTTCTTTACTAGAATGCCTCGTAAAGTTAGCAGAGTAACTCGAAAAAGTACAAAAAAGCAGTTGTCCCGACCGAACAAATGTAGAAACGTTTTTAATCAAAAAACTGTAGAATGTGATGAGACCAGCTTTAGCGCTTCAAGAAAAAATTCCAAGGCTCAAGATGAAATATTGACTCGGGATACTTCCGCAGAGTATCGAGTTTTAACTGTGATTGCTTCTATTTGTGAATATGTTCTATGTAAAACGTGTAGCGGATCATTAAGATTCGAAACACAAAACGAAAAGAAGACACAAGGGAGAATGTCTCGTAGACGAAAAAGCAGAGCAGAGAGGTTCTTGTGGTCATGGAATAGATGATTCTATGTTAAGTTGGAAAAAAGATTGTTTATTTTAGTGAAACTGTTTCGCAAAACTTTAAATGCGTTTTTCTCGAAACACTGTTTTCAGAGCCTATCGGCTTAAAATTTTCACACAACTTTCTAAGACATATTTGTTAGATAATGATCAAAGGAATACAATTTTTTACAATAATCTCGATCTTTAAGCCACTTTGAGGTGTAGCATTCCTCATAAAAAATTAATTTTATTTTTTTAAGCCTCTTTTTTGTCGAAAATCAAAATTTTCACTATTCCTTAGATCATTACCTTTATTAATCCATTATAATACTACAATTGGTTGGTTTTCGTGATTCAGAAAATATTTTCTTTTTTTGGTATAATTTTTTTTTAAATCTTTCCTTTTTGGAAACGATCAATAATTTCGAAGATCTTAAAGGTAATTCTTATTCCTGGAACAAGTCAATCAATACCACTATATAGATTAACAAAGTAAGCAAAGTACAATAAATTACGAATATAACTTAGATTTCTCAAAGAATGTGCTTATGTAGACATCATTAGGGATACCAAACACTCATTTTTTAAATTTAACAAAAGATATATCATAAAGGATAATTTGTAGTAAATTATGATATCATGAAAGGTATATGCGGAGCGCAACTCGATATAGAATAATTGGATGCGGCGGAGCCCTCAGTCACAGTTCAAACGTAAATCCTCACTCTTTTATCGCTTAGGGTAGTTCTGCTGTAATAATTTTTTTAGCTAGAAAGTTTGGGGGATTAGATAATCTTAATGAGTAATTTTTAAGCAGTTTCTCTATTTCCTCGGTAACGGTTTTAATCCCGAGATCGTTGTGAACTGCGGAGTTTTATTTATATACCAAGAGGCTTTGCATATTGGTCTTAAGGTCTTAGACTTCAGTCTTTGAAATTTTTCTCGTTTAGATTTAGATGCTGAGCCGCAAATTTGGATACCGTACATCCAAGTTGGCTTTATAAGCATATTAAAAAGTAAAACTTCGTTTTCAAGACTTAGTTTGGACTTAGAGCCTGCAATCCAATGCAAGTTCGAAATTTTCAATTTGGTTTTAGTAATTTTTTTCTCTATGAGGTTTTACCAGGTGAGTCTTTTATCCAATGTACACTAACTCCCAGGTAGGTAAGGAATTCTCTCTGAGGTATTGTATTCTTTTTTCAGTTTAAATGTTACTTGTATACTTAGATTCATTGACTTTAACTCTACACTCTTCTCTTACTTTTAATTGTTCTTGTAATCTGTAACTGGCTGTCATGGGGTCTGAGTGAACACTAAGTATTGCTGTATCATCCGCAAAAGTTGATGTGATGAGGTTTCGGTTTGTGGGAAGATCGTTCGTATAAATTACATACAAGACGGGTC